CAGTGCGCTGGGAACTCAAAGATCGCAAGTTCGAATCACGGATTGGACACTCCTACAAAAGACATGAAAGACGTTAAAAACATAAACAGCGGTTTCAAAAACTCAAGTCAGGAAAACAGAACACAAGAATACTACCCAACATGGAAGCCAGTCGAAGTCGTCGAAGAACGAACACAGTCGAAGAACGAACTCTGTTGACAGCTGTAGGTCACGTGCAACAACAGACACGAGGAGCATGGCTGCTCTCCAAATGGGTCCTTTCTTTTGTATTGACCCCCTAAGGATTGCTAATCCCCCTTTCTAACTCTTCCCCCAAAAATAATATATCGCCCCTTTTAAAATGTATTGAGCCACAAATTAATGAATATTCATGAGCACAGAAACTGCTACGTCATGAATAAATTAGCATAATTTTAAAAAAATTGCATAAAGTGTAGGTACTCCTTCTGGAGCTCTGCCAATTTTAATTTTACCCTACTCTAACATCTGGTACACAATTTTGAAGATTTTAGAGAACACTGATTATGGCATGTTTTTCACCTCTTAGTTTCAGACATGGCCACCTATCAAGAATTTATCCAACAGGCTGAAGAAAGGGATGGAGTACGATTCAGCTGGAATGTATGGCCTTCGAGTCGCCTTGAAGCCACTCGCATGGTAGTACCATTAGGATGTTTATTCACACCTTTAAAAGAACGTCCAGATTTACCGCCCATACAGTATGACCCTGTCTTGTGTGGTCGACCGACATGTAGAGCTATACTGAACCCACTGTGGTAAGTTGTACTCATGAATCAAGTGACAGTAAATCCAAATTGTAAACTGAGGGATGCTACATTGAAGCATATATATTACCGATATTTGTCACCATGCACACAACACTCTTCATAGGTCTGATTCCACTACATGTAACATCAGTGATTGCTATAATTATTTATATCGGTTGCCGGTAACAACATGCTTTACAACAAATCACACCACTGCTAACACGTTTCTCAGTCATTTAACTCATTAATTGTACATGAACCCCAAATAAGATCCAAATTAATGATTTTTCAGTATTAGTGTACAGTTATTACCATATGTGAATCTGGCGATTCCTCAACCACTAGCTCTTTCCATGCTGAACCTAAACCAGGGATTATGTCCATGTTGAATGCTACTGTTCTGCTACTGCCTTACAATTATTGTTGACAGAAATGCACTTGTATCATATTGTGTTTGGTGGTACACAACTGCGCCACATTATAATTTGTTCAGTATAGTTAATCACATTTTCTTAATTCACAGCCAAGTTGACTACAGAGCCAAACTTTGGGCATGTAATTTCTGCTTTCAGAGAAATCCTGTGAGTATTTTTTCCCATATTCAAGAATATTTTGAATGATTTAGAATGCCAGTTTACACAAATAAAACTAAAAATCCATGTGGAAATCATTATATGACACAATATAGTGATTATATTTTTCAGAATTATCACACTATTAGGTGTTATTAAAACAACATAGCTCTTTGTCATCCCATCTAAGAAAATACAACTGGAAATTGACACATAGCAACATGATATAATCAGTGATCTTGTAGCATATTTTTTGTGTGAGCATGTTATGATGCAGTAATCAGCAGTACATTTGGATATTTGTTGTGGATATCAGACCTCTCTTGGTAAAGTTAGCATAGAGAAGTCTATATTCGCACCAAATACCCTCACTTGCTGTTTATTATCTCTAAATCTAACCTGTGTTAGTCAACCTAACAACCTAGGATGACGCATGAAGCAAATACATAATCTGGAGAAATTTATGCTGTTTAGAATTCATATTGTCAATTAGAAAAAAATAGTTAATAAATGTGAATTCTTTTCTTAGTTTCCACCTCAGTACAGAGCGATTTCAGAGCAACACCAACCAGCAGAATTGATACCCCAGTTCTCTACTATAGAATATACATTGACGGTGAGTAGTGTTTTTAGACTTGAAAAGGTTTATTCCACCATTTCAGTGAAATCACTGGTTTTATCTTGATTTTGATTGGAGGTGGCTATTTCCATTCTCATTGCATCTAGCATGGATAATCTTTTGATATTGAAAAATATATACCAACTGCACTGTATTGATGATAAATTCCAAAACTGTTTGATTAATCTCTCTGCTGGAAATATACAGTGAGTAGTAGCTTTTAAAGTAATAATTGAATTGTAGTTAGTTTATCAGTACTGACCACAATGAACACTGTGTTTTTGTATTGCCATCATTCATCTAACTTATTGTGTTTCATTCACCAGAGAGCCACCTCAACACCACCTATTTACCTGATTGTGTTGGATACCTGCATGGATGAAGAAGATTTACAGGCATTAAAAGAGTCTCTTCAGATGTCACTGAGTTTACTGCCACCCAATGCATTAGTCGGTCTCATTACATTTGGTAGAATGGTGCAAGTACATGAACTTGGATGTGAAGGATGTTCTAAAAGCTATGTATTCCGTGGCACAAAAGATCTCACCGCCAAACAGATACAGGTAAGCAATGCCCAATCTGGTGAAGTGCATCTTCAGAATATGTGGCAATGTAACATGTTGTTTTCTTCTAAAAAAAAACACCTTGAAATCAGATATATTTGAATTTAAAATGTATGAAATTCAGGGGACTGTTTCTCAGAGAAACTTCATGAAATTTCATGAATACTTGTACTTCATATTTCAAACTAAATATATTATTAAAATTTACCGTTAATTTCTAACTTTAAATTTCAAGCAGATGAAACGTTGGTCTTGGGAAAACTTTATATTCTTAGATTTGAAAATATCATATGTGGTGTCATCCAGCCTTACATTTGTTGTTAGTATCATTGAATTTTTAAGAACATCTATATTCAAGGCCTAAAATTTAAAAAATCAATCCAAGTAATGTGAGGGAAGATCGGATTATGACAATGGCCTTTGTGGCCGCATATATTTATAACAAGTATCAATCTATCAAAAAAAAATAAAACTGAACTATTTTTTATTTAGGAAATGCTTGGAATTGGACGAATGGCAGGTCAGCAACAAAGAGCACCCCAACAACAACAACAGCAGCAACAGCAGCAGCCAATGAATAGATTTCTGCAACCAGTCCACAAGTGTGACATGAGTTTGACAGATTTACTCGGTGAACTTCAACGAGATCCATGGCCTGTCGGTGCTGGTAAAAGACCTTTAAGATCTACTGGTGTGGCCTTGTCTATTGCTGTAGGATTGCTTGAGGTAAGGATTACTATAGTATTCACAGATTGTTGAAGTGTCATCAAACATCCTTTGAGTTATTACAATCCTGGTGAATATGGGTAAGATTATTTCGTCATACATTTTGTAAGAAAAAAAATAATGTACCGAGGGGTACCGGTATTAAGAAACACGTTGCAATTTTAAAAATGGTGATGACTTAAAAAATTTTCCATTTGAAATTGGTTCAAGGATTTATATTTAATGCACTACACTTGTTAACAACTATGAAAAGTAAATAAAAGCTATCAAACTTTGATACTCAGTCGTTTTGCCAAATTTATTCAACTATTTGTGTGTGATTCTAATAACAAATAAGTGAAGAGATATACCGGTAATTATCGTATTCATTTCTATAATACACACACATACTATTAATTACAACATCTTCTTTTTTTAATGGAATATTGATCAGTGTTTCCTTAACTGTTTTTATTTTATTTTCAGTGTACATACCCTAATACCGGTGCCCGAATTATGCTATTTGTTGGAGGACCAGGCACCCAGGGACCAGGTATGGTAATTGGTGATGAGTTGAAAATACCAATCCGATCCCATCATGATATTGAGAAAGATAATGTCAAGTTTATGAGGAAAGCTATTAAAGTAAGTACCAACAATTATTGTTTTTGTATTATAGAAGAATGTATTATAAAATGGTTCATCTTTAGACATAAAAGTAGAAGTTAAGAAACAAAGGATTTGTTTTGTTTTAAATGTACTTGAGTTCTGTAAGTGTCCTTAGTTTGATGGTTTGCATATTTGTATCTTCTACCACTTGAGGGCAGTATTCTGTGAGATCTACAGTTGTACTAGACAGATATGGATGTATGCCTTTTTCTTTGGTTGAAATATTATGACTTGCTAGAAAAATTGAATAATAATTTTTTTAATTTTGTTTTTTCAGCACTATGAGGGTCTGTCAAAAAGGGCAGCTGAGACTGGGCATGTCATTGACCTGTTTTCCTGTGCTTTAGATCAAACTGGACTGCATGAAATGAAGTCTGTCACAAATAACACAGGGTAATTATTACTTTATGGATGACATTGTGCTAAATCATGCGAGCATTATTGAATTATAGCTCCAGTTAATATTATGACAAAAGGGAAATATTTTAAACGGAAAATCTTATGCGGAGGTTTTCCTATTTGAAACTAAAAATTAATTTGCTCTACTTTCTAAACGCAGATATTGTCACACTTATTTCATAGAGGAAAATAAAAATAGAATGTAAATAATCCAAGGAGCTGCTTGGAATTTAAAGTTTGAAATTACATTATAGGAATATATTTAGTTTGAAATATGAAATATAATATAAAATTGTATTTTTAACACAGCATTGAAAATATTGCTTCTTCTCAACAGAGGTCATCTGGTGATGGGCGACTCCTTCAATACTGCTTTATTCAAGCAGACATTTCAGAGGGTTTTTTCGAAAGATGTTAAAACTGAATTCAAGATGGCATTTGGAGCTCTTTTAGAAGTCAAGGTAATTGTCCTTTATAAGCCAAGTTGAATTAATGATTGTCACAAAAGTTTCAGCGCACCCACTTTCATAAAATGTGCATACATTCTGTTAATTGAAATACCTGGGTGTGATGCAGTGGTTAAGTTGTTTAAGGTTGGATAAGGGATGAGCGAAATTTTTTCTTGAAACAGATTGATAGTTGGGAATTTGAAAATCTCAGAGGGGGGAAACTTTTCACATACAAATGTATCCAACAATTTTTGTTCACACTTCATCTCTCTAGAATATGTATTTCAATAACAAATTAAAAAAAAATAATAACTCATTTTTAATAATGAATATTACATACAAGCTGTCTACATACTACCCTAGTTTGTTCAAAGTGTGGACTCTCATCTGTTTCAAGGTGGAATTTTGCTCACCCTTACAGAAAACCCTATCTGTTTAGTCGAGGGCCAGATTCAGTAGACTCATTTGCAAACTCATTAAACAAAAGACAATGTTGGCATTGACCATGACATTGACAGCGGTGTATGAAACTCAAGCCCTCTTGTTCCACTCAGATTTTTTATTAAAAAAATAAATGAAGCACAATGAACATTGTTATACAATCTGTAATGTAGCAAAATCCTGTGATGTCACTGTGACCATAAATTCTAAATGTCTTTCATGATGTCATCATTTACAGAATCCATCGTTGAATATGAATTTTAACCATTTCACATTGATTTTCCTGAAACATTGTTATGGTATAGTAATACTATTATATTTATGTTTTAGACATCAAGGGAATTAAAAGTATCCGGTGCAATAGGTCCTTGTGTATCTACAAATATGAAAAGTGCGTCTGTATCTGACACAGAGATTGGTATGGGAGGTTCATGTCAATGGAAATTCTGTGGACTCTATCCTAATACAACTGTGGGATTGTTTTTTGAAGTTGTTAACCAGGTAAGATTCTTTTATTTAAACTGAACAATATTGCTATATGATATGTGACACGCATTGCCATCTTAGTGTAAAGTTTGTTGTTGAGCCATCTACAAAAAGTTGTCATGGTGATTTCATCATTATGGGTTATCTCTTTATTAGTCCCCGTTCGGACGCAGTCCGAAAACGGGGACTTATGTTTTGCCCTGTGTGCGTCCGTCCGTCCGTGCGTCCGTGATCACCTGTATCTCGAACATGCATGGACCGATTAAGTTCAAACTTCACTCATACATCACACATTATATGGGACATATGCACATGCATTTTTTTCATGATCCGATTAACGATAGCCGAATAGCGGCCATTTTAAGGCCGAAAATGCATCAAAATCGCACATTTTCACCATTCCGGACCCGGATCTCAGTTATGCATGGACGGATTTTGTTCAAATTTGGTACATACATTAAACATAATAGGACCTTGATGCACGTCATTTTTTTTTTTGGATCAAGGGTTCGAAATGGCCGACTGGCGGCCATTTTGTTTTAAAGAATTCAGTTCTGGATTCGTATCCTGAGACATGTCTGGATTGATCAAGTTCAAACTTCACACACACAAGGTACATCATGTCACAAATATGTATGTGCATTTGTTTCATGATCCTCATTAATGATAGCCAAATGGGGGCCGCTTTAAGGCCGAAAATGCATTGAAATCGCACATTTTCACCATTCCGGACCCGTATCTCAGTTATGCATGGATGGATTTTGTTCAAATTTGGTACATACATTAAACATAATAGGACCTTGATGCACGTCTTTTTTTTTTCCGGATCAAGTTCGAAATGGCCGACTGGCGGCCATTTTGTTAAAGAATTCAGTTCTGGATCCGTATCCAAGACATGTCTGGATTGATCAAGTTCAAACTTCACACACACATGGTACATCATGTCACAAATAGATATGTGCATTTGTTTGCTTAACAATAGCGGAATGATGGCCATTTTAAGGCCAAAAATGCATCAAAATCACGTATTTTCACAATTCCAGAACCGGATCTCAGTCATGCATGGATCGATTTTGTTCAGATTTAGCACAATGTGTTGTACATATGCAGGTGCATTTCGGTCATAATCTGCTTTGAATGTATATGTCACTCAAATATGAACGGAACGGGAACGTGTCATTGACAATGACTTGTTTATAAAAAGTTGCTAGTCATAGAAATAAATTTTAAAAATATGAAAATAACACATTACATTCATTATTGTGGTTAAGTTTCTGTACAATGAATGTTGAATTAGAATATTCAACATTTTTATTGTCAATTATCTTCTATTAATTGCAAGTAAAGTACGTCTTTCAAATTGACTGCAATGTCAACAATGATTTTGTGAATGGGTGTACGAGTCTTTGATATGGCTTGAAGATGCTTATATTTATGACACAAACACGGATAGGTACATGAAAAATAAAGTTTATTACTTTGGCAAAACAGGGGGGCACACAACGAAATCCATTGGCTTACAAGAAATATACCAGGATGGACATGTCATGAGCCCCCACCATGTGAACGCAAGAACTCTGAAATAATACACACCTCATAAAATCTGTGTTAATAATGAAGCTTCAGTCGCTGTGGCTGTATTTAAATAAAAAATTGCTTATATTTATGAATATGTAAATTAGCTTCTCAATCAGTAAATCTGTTTTTTTTTTTGGCCAATAATTAGATTTCCAAAGATGACAGTTTTAAAGTTTTGGTTTATTTCTATAAATAATAAAAAACGGTTTGAAATATAAAAATGTTATTCTAATTTGCTGACGTGCGTATGTATTCAACTTCTGACCCCCCCCTCCCCAAAAAATGCATGTTGTACAGCTACAAAGAGCTCCTACAAAATGAGTAGAAAGAAAAAAAAAATGCATAGATTTAGTTGTATTTAAATTGATAGTTGAATAAAACCACACAGCTGATGTAATCGAAGTGAGCCCTCACACATCATTTCAAAGAGGGAAAAGTGTTAAATTTAACTATTGATGCTGATTGGAGAATCAGTGCTAGGAGGCTTAATGATATTGAAGCTACCGTAGATGTCTTTAGGATATAATCTTATTGTGGATCAGAAATACGCAAATTAGTGTAATAGTAAACATTACATACAGTAAAATACTTTGTTTTTGCTTGGAATTAATTTTTGTTGAAGGAATGAAAATAAAATTCAGTTAATATACTTTTTTCCCCCCATATTTTACATTCAACTTGTCAAAAATCAGTGAAAATAAATTCCATACAAAACACCCGAAAAGTCTTTTCAGCTAAAATTAATTCCAGCTAAAATAAAGCATTACACAGTACTTTAATAGTCACTTATCATTTGATATAATTGTACTTAAATCTAAGCTCTAAGTATTACCAGTGGACTTATTTAAAAAAAATAAAACTGAAAAGGAAAATTATGGGGGGTGGGGGTGGGGGGGTCATAGCGCAAGTTAGTGGCGGCATCATCATCATCATTGTTAAACTTTTAACGAATATCAGAGTATTTTATGATTTTCTTATACCCCGTACATAATGTCATTTGAAATGCAACAAAAAGCAATAATTAAACCAGTAATAAATTCAATAATTTATTACTGGTTAATTTGATTAATTTATTCAAATGTTCATAACATGCGTACATACCTAATACATGAATTTAAAACACTTTGCACAATATTTTTTGTGGAGAATTGTAAACAAAAGCTTGACAACACTGACTATATTTTAAAACTAAATGAATTAAATATTTACTTGATAAAAATCCTATTGCAATATGAATTATTAGTAAATGTTATCTGTTATTTTTAGTCTGTCTTACATAACTGCTTGTAACAGGAGTATATAAATATTTTAACATTTGCCATATGTCTATTGGTAGACCTATATCTCTTTTAAGTAATTGTTCTTCATGAATATTTAATATGCATTCAGAGCATGAATTAATGGTATATTATTGCCTGCAGAAACTATTGCAGTGGTAGACTCTATGATAGTTAGAAAGCATCTCATTGAATTACTGGGATATTTATTTGTCTGTCTTTTTTCCAGGGCATAGCATTTTTATTCAAGCTAGATCTCCTCCGTCCACTGTATTTGATTTTAATTGAAATTCAATGCTGACAGTGATTATGACATTGATTTATTCCCATTATCACGAATCATAAAATTGTACCATAAAAACTGTATTAGAAGCTGCATCCCAATAGAAGTTGCACCCCTTTCTTTTTGAATAATTGAGAACCAAATATTGATCATTTCATGTGTAGATGCTCTAATAGAAGTCGCATCCCCTCTGTTGCATTGCACCATTTTAATAGAAGCAGAGTTTTCTAATTAATACGGATTTAACAGTACTATTTTCCATGCACATTCAGATTTGTAATTGTATTGTTATTGCTATAGTGTATAGCTCCTTCTATTGAAAATTTTTAAATTCTTTTAAGGTGTCTGAGATGTGTATGATTGTTGATTTGTTTGTTATATAGGGGTTAGGGTTGAGGGGTGGGTAATAATTTAGTTATAGCAGGTATAACAGGTGGTCTGATAGTTATGTGCTGGCATAGCTATGAAACCATTACATCAATTTATCAGATCGTTGCTTCATTGGGTTTTCAATCAAGTATTGCAAATAGTCTCTATATTGGGAAATGTAAATCTAATCCTGCATGCTCATCCATGATGCATGAAATAGACAAAATTTAAAATATTCTCGAAGCATACATCTATTATGTCCTTGGCATGTGTTTGTCTAATCGACAAAAGATGTTTCATCAATTGTGATCCATGCCTGTGAATATTTGCTACAGTCAAGTTGTTATAATTCAATTGCATTAAATAATTACCTAATTTTGTTTGTTTTTTTGAGAGAATTTTTTTTAATTCTTAAGAATGAAGAGTTGGGTGTCAATAAATTTTGAACTAATGTGAAAAACAGATTATGGAATTTCTTCAAAAAAAGGTGTTTTACTATACCAATAGTACCTTCAATATGATTTGTAAGACTGCAGTTGTCAAAAAATTAAAGACTAGTACAACTGCTGTATAATGCTTACCATTGTAAAATGTACCATAAATCAAATGAATCGAAGTGTTCTAGATTGGTTAGAACCTGGAGGTAGCAGAGAAAACAAGTGAAGTGGGCGGACATAGACAGGAAATTAACTTCGTCAACTCAACCTAAAGGCACTGCATGTTGGTTGTTTTCACATGCAGTTATCAGTGGTAACTGGTAAATACTGTCTACTGCTGGTGAGGCTTTGTTCATGAGACAGCCGATTTTGTAAAATAGCATTATTTCTTGAAAGTGACATGGCTTGGTACCTGAATTAGTTCAAATAGTGTATATTAAAGTGTATCGCATGACACTATTATCACATTAGTGATAGTCACTGTCAGCGATAAACAAATCAGCCGTTCTCATTACTTCGATCACGCAGCCATGCAAAATTGCCGAGATTATCTTCACTAGTGAACCCCATAAATCAAGGTCTTACAGGGCCTCGATATATGTGCGATAAATGTTTTACAAACTTTGATGCTGAAATATGAGTGCTACAAATTTATATGCAATGACAGTTTATTTATATTCCTAGTTTATGCAATGAACTTAATCGTCTTGGAATTTTCATTTACACATTGGGACCACTCATATTTGACTCCATGCATAATGGGTGACATAGCATACTAATGTGTTAAAAGCCTATATTATTCACAACACTATATACAGTTATTGAGACTGATATCAAGAATTACCATCCCCAAGTATTATTGCACATCTCCACAGTGTGGCATAATACAGGACAGATCGAAAATGCAAAACCTCATAGTTTGAGGTCACATACATCTACTGTCAAGTTTTGTTTTCATTTTATGCTCTACCTGAAGGTTACATGAAATCTCTGGGTTTGTATACGACCCAATAACTACAAATTGTGTTCAACTTGGTTCATATTAACAATTTAAAATTAAAAGCAAGTTAG